AGTTTTTGTAACCCTTTACCAACATATTTTGGCGAGAAAATAACGCACACCTTACAAAAAGCCCCTTGCTTTATGGCTGAGTAGGCAAGCCACTTATATTTTTTTAGCCATGAAAATTGGAATGTTAAATTTCTCATATTTAATGATACTGGAAACTTATAACCATTCCCTTGCTCCTAAATATTATCAATGGACCTTAATTTTTCATTATCATTATGAAAATTGTGGTGTACATAGGTTACAATATCTTTTTTACAAAGGATGTCTATAATTCTTTAAAATTAAAATTTCAATATGAACTGTTTTAAATATAATAAACCCAATGATCTTATTTCTTATAGCACTAATCAAAAACACTCCAAAAACCTTATCTATGAGTTTGTTTAAAAAACTAGTTAACAAATAAAAAATATATATTGAATAAGTATAAGTGTCAAAATAAAAATGAACTATATAATATAAAAATATTAAACAAAATATTATACCTTGATAAAGAAATGGAATAGTCTGATCTTTCAAATTTGAGATGGGAAGATATGTTGGTGATTGAACTATTACAATATAATATAAAATAATTAAACAAAATATTATAGTTATACCTTGATCAAGAAGATGAATAATCTGATCTTGAAAATTTGAGATGGGAAGATATATTGGTGATTGAATTACAATATAATAAAAAATAAAAATATTAAGCAAAATATTATACCTTAATCAAGAAGATGAATAGTCTGATCTTGAAAATTTGAGATGGGAAGATATTTTAGTGATTGAACTATTACAATATAATGTAAAATAAAAATATGAAACAAAATATTATACCTTGATCAAGAAGTGGAATAGTCTGATCTTTCAAATTTGAGATGGGAAGATATGTTGGTGATTGAACTCTTACTATATGATATAAAATTAACTAAAAATATTAAAGAAAATATTATACCGTTATCATCACCATCAGGAAGATTTTCTAATGTAGTAATAGGTGTAGGATGTGATTTGTTGAAATATGAATAAATTAATGATTGTTTTTTCATATTGAAAATGAGAAATATATATTTTTATAAAATGGAATATGACAAACTAGACAACTTTTATGAAATTCAAAATTATATAAAATTTATTTAATAAATCAAAAATAATCAAATGTGTATATCTATTATTATTTATAATAAATTTTAAAAAAATAATAATTTTCATGGGGGGGGGGGGGGGGGTGAACCCCCAAACTCCCCATGCCTACGTCACTGACTCATTTCATAAAATCTCCGACTCATTCCATAAAAAATCACACACTGAATAAAATATTATTTTTCAATAAAAACATATTATCAAAATAATAATAATCTGATTTTTTCTCTTTAATTGAACATTTGCAACAGATACATTATTTTAATTTCAAGCTTATATGTTGATTAATATTATTTGAAAATAAATTTATAATATTGTTTTTTCTTTGTATTTTAAAAGCTGTTCTAACTAAAATACTAAATCTATAAATAATATAGTAAATTCACAAAATAAATTAACAATTAATTTTTTAATATGAAAAAATATACAAATGCGCAGAACAGATTACAAACACAATTCATTTATAAAACGTGTTGGAGAGATATAATAGCCCTGATTGACGTTGGGGAAAAAAAATTTAACGAACTTACCTTGAATTCATAGTGGCGCGATTGCGATCGCGATTTAACAGCTGATTGATTTTTAAAATCTGTTTATGAGATCAATTATTCCTTATTAAAATCATTATTCCTTAGATTATTATTAAAATTTGAATTAAAGATAAAATAAATATTAACAAATAAAAATTGATCTCATAAACAGATTTTAAAAATCAATCAGCTGTTTAATCGCAATCGCGCCACTATGAATTCAATGTTAAACAGACTTTTCGTGGGCCGGGCAGCTTGTTTAAAAATTTTTAGCGGGCCGAGCTTTGCAGATCTCTATTTTAAATACTAAATTAAAGTATTTTGTATTTATTACTATTTCAGAATAAATCAAATACTTTTTTATTTTGAATTCCTATGAGCTCGACCCAACTTGAAAATTTGCACTTTTATTAATTAATCCCTTATACATATTAGATTAAAAGATGCCAATTTGATTTTATAATAATTTCCCGTTATAAATTTTTTAATTTAAAGGCGCATACCTTTAGCTATATAAATAAATTTAAATAAAACTACTAGCTTAACTATATCCAATGAAAATTAAAAATAATTTTGATATATATTTATTTTATTATTAATTTAATGAACCTTTATTTACTACTATATCAGTTGAGTAGGAGCTAGAAGGTGAGTTGCTATTTATAGATTTTTGCCAAATCATATCTCTGTTGATCTTCTCGACATTAATCAACGTTTGGCACAAATCTTTATAATGTTCTCGGGATAACATTATCATATCCCTATATTTTGGGAATAATATGTCGAAATTTGGTGGAATATATCTATTTGAAATTAATCCACCATTATTTCCCTACATCTTTGCGACAACTGGTTAAGCTGCGAGTTTAATTGGATGCTAAAAAAACAAACTCAATGTTTTGTGATAACACAATATAACTTTGTGAATAGTGGGTTTTAAATCAACCTCAAATTCATCACTTTCAATTTTAAAAGAGGTCAGAGCTACTTTTTTCCCGTTATGATAATATCTTCCAGGTATACTCCTGTCATTTTTCAATCCTGCAATAGATTATCCATATATCGTTGGAAAATAGTCGGCACACTAAAATGGCCGAAAGGCATACATTGATATCGAAAAACTCAATATGGGTTTATATAGTTAGGTATTCGCTCTCTTTTATTGGTAGCTGCAAATAAGCATCTTTTAAATCTATGGCAGTAAATTTTAACTCGAAGGATTTATGAATAAAGAAGAAAAACCAACTACTTTAATTGGCAAAAGTGATTAATCATACATTTTAATTAATAAGAGTGGTGGAATGAATAATGGTAATCAAGTAAAAAAACAATATTGAATCAATAAATATAACTAAGTACTCCAATGCAGCCTTTTTAATTCTAGATCATCTGATCCATCAATCTCCCATCAAGGTATGATTCGAACTTACACTCTTGTGCCAATCTTTTAAGCCGACCTGCAAAACTCAGCATGCTCTTTATATTCGAATAAACTTAATCCTAGAATTAAACAAAGTTGAAGTGTGTTTAAACACTGCCTTACCAATTTCAACTATTTCATCATAATTAAGTTCCTTCAAGATTCTTGGATATATAAATGACCTCATCTCTGCCAAATTACTAATCCCCAAGTACGCAAATAATTTCTTGGTTTCTTTATTTATTAATATCACTCTTATCTACAACACATCTATTCTATATATTCAATAGAGTCTTGAAAATTGTTTTTTCTTGTAGATTATCTTGCAAATATACTAAATCAGTAACTTTATTGGATTATCTTACAAACATAATAATACTGTGGCAAATTTTTATTAAATAATAAAACCAAATATATTTTTCCTCTCTTAAAAATTTATATCTTTTTTTTCGAAACAAAAAACAATAATAAAAAATTAATTCTTTTCGCGATAATAAAAATAATCAATATATTACTAAAAATAATCGCAACAAAAATTCGTAAACAAAATCGAAAAATAAAAATATACGACCTTATCCACGTCGCGTATAAATAATAATAAAAAGAAACATATAATTCTTCTAGATGTAAGAAAGAGTTTTGTTTATCAAATTTTACTTGAGTTATATTTATTGATTCAAAATTGTTTTTACTTGATTACCATAATTCGTTTCACTTAAAATATTCATTTCACCACTCTTATTAATTAAAATGTTTGATTCATCACTTTTACCAATAGTTTGTTTTTCTTCTTTATTCATAAAATCCTTCGGGTTGAAATTTAGTGTCATAGATTTAGAAGATGCTTATTTGCAGCTACCAATAAAAGAGAGCTCAAAGGAATAACTCACTATATCAACCCATATTGGGAATTTTCGATATCAATGTATGTCTTTCGGCCTTTCAAGTTCGCCAACTATTTTCCAGCGATATATGGATATTACAGGACTGCAAAATGATAACCTAGACTAGACGATAATATCTTAACAGGAAAAAATGGATGCTATTCGAATAATACAATTGCAATCTTTTATAAGACTTTATCACGAGAGAATTTTACCACATTTACACAGTACAGCCGCTCGACAGCATAAGTTTACAAGCATTGGTGTTGGTCTGATAGGGAAAAATATTTATTTAATAAAATAAAGCAGCTTTTGTCAACAAACTATTCCTTATTCGTCAAACTTAAGAAATATGGTATATGGCGTCTAGTTTCTATAAATAAAATAAAATTTTAAAAAATTCAACATATAATTGATAAATTTAAGATATATTTTAAAAAAATTCCAAGGCCCGACCTAGCCCGAATAAAAAAAACATACACAATAACTTGATCATATTTTTTATAAATAATCATAATAAATAAATATTGATATTATTATTGATATCTGCAATTTTAAAAAAAATTATTTCTCAATATTATCTCCCCCCCCCCCTTATGAATTATTACTGTTCCCATTCTCGTTGAATATTTGTTTATATAATAGCGGTCTGGCAATGATGAAAATTATGAATTCGAAAATTTACCTTTTTATTATTTTCTTCAATGATTGTGTTTGCATCAAACTTTTTTTTTATACTTAAAATGATAAAAAAAAATTAACGATTTATGAATTTTTTTTAGTACATAATTTTATCGAAAAGTTATTCGAATGCCTTTTCGAGAATTTAATTGAGAGGCTCATGTTTTTATCACATTATAAAAAGATGAATAAATATCTTCTATAATGCTGGTGATACTTGCATTTCTTCTATTAAAAATATTATAATGATTTATATAATAATATATAATTGAGAAAAAAATTTTATAAATCATTTTATTTAAAAAATAAAATATATTTACATCTTCCATTATTTTTATATTTTATATCGTGATTCAGTTTTATTTAGAGCCTCGCGATCGGCTTGAAGAAATCAAGAAGCAACTAAAAATGTCACCGGACGAATTTTTTACATTAAAACATGGTGAAACTAAAATTCTCGATTGAAAATTAGAAGATTATATTCTAAATAATAACAGGATATTATATTTAATTTAAAAATTATATTAATTATATTAATTATAGAGAATTTAATTTTAATCACATGCCAATCACTACATAGATATATATATTCATTCAAATATAGATATTTATAATTTAAATAAAGAATTGTTATTGAACAAAACATTTATAGATATCACTATTCGTAAAGTATAAATATCTAAAAAAATTGAAACTCATTATTGTTTTGCCCAAATAATTTTCCAATTATTATACTAATAAACAAGTAGTAACGAAATTTTATTAAAAGTTACAGCGTTAAAGGCGTATGAAATTTTGTTTTTAATGGTGTTAATTGAGTGGAGTAACGTCACTCGTTATTTGAAGATAACGATACTTGTTTGGATGACCTTAGATATAGGGGTTATACATTATTTTATCATAAAATAATTAAGTGCTAAACGTTCCTATTTATCGGTTCAAGATTTTGAAAAATAATTATTGTTACAACTAAATTATTTTAATAAAATAATTATAAACTTATTTAGTAAATTTTTATTCATTATATTAATAAATGTATTTTTACGTAATATCTTGTAAATATGTATTATCTGCTATATCATTTTAATTTCGAAAAAATAATCTATTGTGTTTTTTTGAAAAGTAATGACATTTTTTTATTTCGGGCAGAAACGAAAAATTAACGATGTTACATTTTAAATTGAGCTTATAGCACTGCTATTTATGTAATATATTTATTTAAAGTCACCTATGCCCATTTAAATATTTAAGCTAATGAACCTCGAACCAACCCAATTTTTCTTTAGAACGCAATTGCAAAAATTTTTTTATGATTGATTTCTAAAAAAAATAAAGATAGTAGGTTACGTCCAAACTAGACTTTTTGTCGTTACTCCTAATACATTAAGGCACAGCTGTCCTAACTTGGTTACCGCTTTTTTCAAAATTTTTTACCATTAAAACCTTTATAGATGTTATAAAATAAATTTTACTTTTTTACAAAATAAACTAACATTCTATTCGATCAAGCGCCTTGGTAATTTACTATTAATTTCTATTTATACTGGACAGAATCCAGTCGAGCCCTAGACTATGTTTGACCCATCTCGATCGTGCCCCATTTTTTTAATTTTCAAACATGGATCAATACCTAAACCCACTTTTGAAAGAAATATTTCAGGCAAAATTTTGTTAGGTCCAGAATAGTGTTGTTGATCGCCAATTTTATTCAAATTTTGAGTCATAAAATTTACTTCAAATTGAGCGGCTCTATGGGTCGGCTCAATTTTTTTTATATTTTTCTCGTGGAGTAATAATGATACCAGAGAGATTCAAAATAAATTTGTTCCGACTCTAAAGCTAACTTAAGGGACTCATTAAGCCCCTCAATTTAAAGTATTAAAAATCTACCTTTTAACAACACTAATCTAGAACTGTAAAAACTAGGAAAATAAATTATATATGAACAATTAATTTGACATTCGTTTAATATTCTTTTTTTCTTCATTCCCTATAGGAAGATTTTCTTGAGTGATAAATATGATATCATTAAGGTGCCATAAAATAAAACAATTAGGAAAAAAATAAAACAGCATAATTATATAAACTCTAGAGCTATCGAATTTAGTCAAAATAGTAATGTCGTTACATTTTGTATCTTGCATTTATGTTTTTAAAGTAACCCTGTTATTTTATTTTTTGAGATAACGACAGAGAGCTTTGGGAGACTATGTACGATGCCAAGGATTTTGCGATAAATAATTTATCTAACTTGTATTTCATAATTATATCATATGATAGCTACTAGGCTACAAAAAAATCAAACACCACACATGATTTGGCCATTATTTTAGTTATAGTGAAAGTTTTGCCCTCTGAGGTGGCAAGGCATACGAGGTGAGATGATAGACATTATTTAATATATTAACAACATAACTATTGAACATAAATAATACAAATTAAATATAAATCTAAACAATACAAGCATGTATATATAATGGGAGTCATTATTTGCATATTGGTATCTAGAAGATAACGCCCAAATTTTTTAAAACTAAATTTGATGATATGGAAGAGTAATTTTGTCGTGTCCAAACACTTTGATAAAATGTTGAGCGGAAATTTTTTTTATATTCGTTAGATATTTCCAAAGCAGCATTTAAATTTTTAGATCCAACAAATTAGAAGGCTTGCACAGTATCTACCATATTCAGCGTCCATATGAGCGGGAGGGGTAGGAACAGTTTGCATCCTATTTTTTGAGGGGGTAAGCTGCTTTAATGGGGGTAGGATAAATTTTTTGGGAGGGTTATCTATTAAATTTTGACATGAAATAGGACAAAATTTATTGCTGTAAATATTAATACTTATATTATAGTATTATTATAATACAATTCATCGACCAAATCTATATATTGCAAAAAATCATACACATTGTTTTCCAAATAAACTATCCTTTTAAATGTAATTTAAAAGATTTAGATATTTCAGCATGCTCATAATCGCATAATAATTAATTCATTGTAAATAATGGAGGCTTTAATTGAATTTAAATCTAAAAAATAAATTCTTTATATTCACAAAATATCGATAGTTGGTAGTAGAGATAGATTTATTTAAGTTATCCTTTATAAATTCTTTGAAAAGATTATCAATAAATAAATAGGTGAAAATAATTATAAAAAGACATCGCCGCCGAAGGCGGCGAGGATTTTTTAGAGGGGTAAGCAAAGGTTTTTGAAGAGGGTTTGCATCCAGTAAAAATCCTCTCATGTAGTCGCTGACCATATTCATATCATTTTCGTCAACTTATATAATAATTCCTAATGGGAGCTTGATCTTTCATATATGTGTTGTATATAGAAATATATTACATATTTACCCAAGGAATTTAACAAAATAGGAGCAATGAGCAAGTCATTTCAAAAATTTGTGTGAGTTTAGTATTCTTTCTTTTCATTACTTCAGTCAATACTCTAAATAGGTTTTACAATTATCCTTCTATTAATCAAGGCTGCCGATTTTCTTTCTAATGCATGTCAATTCGAGGTTGGTATATCGATCATTTATTAATCAATAATTAAATAATTTATTTACAAAGTATAGTAAAGCGGTACCTTTTAAAAGCTTTAAAATCTGTTATTGTACAAAGTGATACTGCATTAATAATAATTTTTCAATAATATTTATTATCTTTATGTTATTTGGTGATTAGCTGATCTATTTAGATTTGAGTTATTAATCAGTCTAATGAAATATGACTTTTCAGCTTCAATAACATCAAAGGTTGACAAATCTTTAATCACAAATTCTGTTCAAAAGTTTATTTTGGAGAGTTAAAATATATGGTTATTTTTCAAAAAAAAAATTTCTTATTAAAAAGAAAATTTACATCATCATTTACTGATAAATTAGAACTAACATGCTAATCTTTTATTTATAATTTTAATTTCATATAGCTAATTGTCGGGTACTTTCAGATTATCAGTATGTAGATCTTCTTCACCCTCTATCGCAGAATACTCTTGACATAATTTAAAATCAAAATTAAATATTTAAAGGTCTGTTCTTCGACTTCTATCTTAAGATCTTCTTCGTTTTGCCTTTTTCAAGATATATATCTAAAAAATCTAATTATATAATTATGATTACGACGATTTTAAATTTTAATTAAATGAATGCAAGTTGAAGGATTTAAATAAGTCTATATATTCATCTTAATTATTCAAATTAAATTATAAAATTAAATAAATAAATATTTTTGTCATTTTAAAATATTGATTAATTTTTCATAATGAATAGCTAATTTTATCTATAATGTAGTGCGCTACTTTCATTACTACTTTAGTAACACTGGTATGTTGTTTTCATTTATTAAATAATATATATATATTTAGTTCATAAATGTTTACTGTGGATATTTATTTTTATTACTAGTTAAAATGGCGTTACTAAAAAGTGTCTCATTAAAATTTGATAAAACAAATTTATAATGAAGCAAATTATGAGCTGCGAATCAGATGTATTAAAAATTGGAAAAAAATTAGATGAGATAGTTAAAAATGAGAATTCAGTTAATAATTAATGATTTTGTTTTAAATTTACTTATATATATATTTATAAAGGATCAAAATCCTCTTGATTTACTTAATTTACTCAATAGTCTACCTATAACATTGGAAATTCTTCAAGTATGTTATACATTTATTTTATTTTTTATTTAAAATAGAAAACGCGAATCGGAATGACGGTTAATTCTTTGCGTAAACATACCACTCATGAAAATATTGCCAACTTAGCTAAATTTTTAATAAAAAAATGGAAAAAATTATTAACAGGTAAATAAACAATTTTAACACTAAATATTTTTTTTACAGCAGAACAAAATATAAGCAAAGATAATAAAAATCAAATTAAAAAACTTAATATTGAGAATGATAAACATTTAAATTATGAAGTTCAAACATGTATACCACAGACTTTGTCACAAATGAGCTCAGAAATTAGTCCTTCTAATTCTCAAGATTCTATCAATTTCGAAATAACAAATGATCCGATAAGAATTAAGTGTCATGAATTATTAATTAATGCATTGACTTATGCAGGTATTTTTAATTTTAGATTTAAAATCTATAATTAATTTAGATATGCCATCTGGACCATTGGATCCAAAACAAATTGCTATTCGTGTTGAAGAAAATATCCTTTTTAAATTATAGTTTTTTTAAATTTATAAGAAAATTAATTACCTTAATTCAAATTAAATATACCTATTTTCAAAGAATTTAGCAATACAGATTTTAAATACAAATCTCGTATAAGGAGTAAGGTGGCAAATTTAAAAGATTCAAAAAACCCTCGATTAAGAGAAAATGTATTATTAGGGCACATCACTCCAGAAAGACTAGCAACTATGACAACTGAAGTTTACATAATTGATATATATATATATTTTACATTTATAACTAGGAAATGGCAAGTGATGAAATGAAGATATTAAGACAAAAATATACAAAAGATTCAATAAATGATCATCAAATGTCTATAACCACTGGGACTCCAACTGATTTATTTAAATGTGGTAAATGCAAAGGAAAGAAATGCACATATTCACAAGTTAATATCTAAATAAATCATATTATAATAATATATATATATCAAGATTCAAACAAGAAGTTCAGATGAACCAATGACCACCTTTGTTTATTGCATAGATTGTGGAAATAGATGGAAAGTTATTAAAATTTTATTTATATAAATTTTATCAATTTCTTAGTTTTGCTAAAGCTCCACGAAAAATATATGTTTTAAAATTGTGTCAAATTATATTTATTTCGAAGCTTTTTATTGGGATAGATTTACATATATACAATATATTTATATAATAAATAAAGATGGCATAGCAATATTACTATATTTATATAATAAATAAAGATGGCATAACAATATTACTATATTTATGATCAATAATTAATTTTTTATAACATAATAAAGTTTTACATGTGATGGCATGAAAAAGTAAATAAATTAAGTATAACTATTTAAACGTACAATTTATATATATAATATAATTGATAAAGGAAAACTAAAATAGTTAATTCTTTATAAACTACACTTCATAGCCAGCCATCAGATAAATAAATATAATGATAGATCAATTTTTCGTGATTAAAAAATATCTAACTATAGATTACTTTTCGCAAAACATTAATTCAAATTTTAAATATCTACTTTAAGAATGGCAACAAGTATAACCGGATATATTACATAAAATTTTGACTTATAATAAAATATTTATTTTATCTAATATTATTATAATAAAACGACTACTTATTAGTTATTTTTATTTCAAAATAATCACATCAAATTTATTAATTTTTAATTCGAATGTTCCATTCTATTTTTAATATAATATATATAAATAATATTTTATATGATTTATTAAATTTCCTTCAAACATTTTAAAGTTAGATTTCCTCAATAAACTTCTTTGTTGGTTTACGGTTTCTTGGTGAACAACGTGATGCGGTAATAGATTTTATTACATTTTCTTCAAACATTTTAAAGTTAGATTTCCTCAATAAACTTCTTTGTTGGTTTACGGTTTCTTGCTGAACAACGTGATGCGGTAATAGATTTTATTTCATTTTCACTAGGATATCCCCGGTGATCCTAACACTGCATTTCTTAATTTATTAGGAATAACCAATCTCCCATTTCATTCTATAATATCACGTCACGATCGACTGAAAGCTCTTCCCGTCGATTATAAAAATTAACTATTTCTTATCTTTATGACGATCAAAGTTTCGCCAACTTTGCTGAAAGTGTATTGTTACTTTTTTTAATATTAAATCTTGCTTCGATTCTTTTCGTATAATATTTTCTGACAATTGCATATCATCCAAATTAATACTTCGAATATCCAAAGCATGTTTAGAATCTTGATTCTCTTCCGTGTCTAATATCTGAAGCCTTGATAATGCGTTGGCGATTACATTTTTATTACCAGGTCTATATTCTATTGTAAAATCATAAGAAGCCATCTTCCAGGCCCAACTTGTCAAACGATTATTAGAAATTTTAGGTAAATCGCGTTTTTCCCCAAATAATTGCTCTAATGTTTTATGATCAGTTCGAAGTAAAAATTTTCTACCATAAATAAATGAATGAAATTTTTCAATACCAAATAAAAGTGCTCGAGCTTCTTTATCAATAGGAGCGTAGTGTTTCTCTCGTCGGTTTAAATAATTTAAAACATATTGACTTAATTTCCTTATAAGATAAAATTTCGATCGATTCAGGATAACAAAAACGGTCCACCAACTCATTATTCTTATTGCCTAAAAATGTTAAAAATATATCTTAATATTGACATTCAGATTAACCGAAAACTGGCTTCCCATTGAGAATAATATCTAGAAATTGAAGTATTGTTATCGAATTTATCAAATTTAATTGTAGATAAATCCTCCAATTTTTTTTGACTCTCAATTTAAGGAATTATTTTCTCCATTTAAGGAATTTTCTCCATTCGTCTCCATTTATAATAAAACGACTACAACTACTTATTAATTATTTTTATTTCAAAATAATCACATCAAATTTATAATTTTTAATTCTAATGTTCCATTCTATTTTTAATATAATATCTATAAATAATATTTTATATGATTTATTACAATTATATTAAATTGTTATTAGCTATATAATATATTTAGAAGGATTCCCGGAGAAATAACCTAAGGAAAAAAGATCCGATAACGTGAAAAAAATCCTTCAGCGATAGGCTGATTTCAGAAATAATGCATGCATTACTACAAACCGTGAAGATATCTGCAAAAATATAAATTTGTGAATTTATTCCCCAATTCCATAAATTATTACTACCATCTATATTTACTAAAATTTTCACATTAGTAAAAAAAATTGTTTATTTTAACCCGATTGTAGAGAAAATGATTCTCGTAGAATATTAATTGCATTGCCAATAGGATAATAGAATGATGAAAATAAGATAATCCTATCATTCGAATCAAACGGGGACACTGATTTACTTAACGCCCTATTTAAATATTAATGAAGTAGATTATTATGTTTCTTTTACGTTAAAAACACTATTTTATATATTCTTTTCATATTTTAATTTATTAATTTTTTATATTTTTCAAAACACGAATATTCTTTTTAATTATTATTTTATAATTCAAAAAACAATTCATTAAAGGAATAACACACCTCTAGAATGAATATACAAAATTTATCAATAATCAAAAAATTAACTAAACATTTATAAAAAAATTATAAAAATAAAATAAACCAAATATTGACACCTCACATCTATTAAAATTTAATCCCATTTCTTCCTTCAATTTTTGGTTTTCAGAATCCATAAAGCAATTGTCTTTGTATTTATACTTGAGGAATATCTTTAATTTCTTAAATCTTAGTCATTTTTTAATCATTAAACATTAATCACTTGTCATATCTTACAAATTCTTCGTCTGCCATTGCCTAACTTTAGGGTGAAAACACCGGCTTCGAGTGGAGACAAATGTCTGTGAAATAGGGCATAATATTAACCGGTACAATTGGGACGAAGATCGTTCTTTAACAACAGAGTCTTATCTGGTACGGTGAGATGAAAGCCACTTTTACATAGCAATATATTCAATAATACAAACTCTCCTTAAACTATATATACCCTTCTAAAGAAACATCCCCACCCTCGCAGCGATATTTCAACATTATTAATCACATCTGTTAATACTGATACTCCATATATTCTAAAAAAGAATTACTTAATTTATTAATGCTCAACTTCCAAATATCAAAATCAGCGTCTACATGAGCGGGAGGAGTAGGAACAGTTTAGGCGTCTACATGAGCGGGGGAGGGGGGGGTAGGAACAGTTTACATCCTATTTTTTTGAGGGGGTAGGGGGTAAGCTGCTTTAATGGGGGTAGGATAAATTTTTTGGGGGTTTATCTATTAAATTTTGAGATGAAATAGGACAAAATTAATTGCTGTAAAAATTATACTTTTATTATAGTATTATTATAATACAATTCATCGACCAAATCTATATATTGCAGACAATCATACACATTGTTTTCCAAATCAACTATCCTTTTAAATGTAATTTAAAAGGTTTAGATATTTTAGCAAGCTCATAATGCCATAATAATTAATCATTGTAAATAATGGAGGTTTTAATTGAATTTATTATCTAAAAAATAAATTCTTTATGTTCATAAAATATAGATAGTTGTTAGTAGAAATAGATTAATTTAAGTTATCCTTTAAATTCTTTGAAAAGAGTATCAATAAATAAATATGTGAAAATAATGAGAAAGAGACACCGCCGCCGAAGGCGGCGTTTTTTTTAGGGGGGTAGGCAAAAGTTTTTGAAGGGGGTTTGCATCCAGTGAAAATCCTGTCATGTAGACGCTGCCCCCTTCAAAAATTTTTGTCTATTCCCTTAAAAAATCCCCGCTATCATTATTTTCACCTATTTATTTATTGATACTCTCTTCAAAGAATTTATAAAGGAAAACTTAAATTAATCTATCTCTACTACCAACTATCGATATTTTGTGAATATAAAGAATTTATTTTTTAGATAATAAATTCAATTAAAACCTCCATTATTTACAATGAATTAATTATTATGCCATTATGAGCTTGCTGATATATCTAAACCTTTTAAATGTAATTTAAAAGGATATTTGGAAAACAATGTGTATGATTGTTTGCAATATATAGATTTGGTCGATGAATTTTATTATAATAATACTATAATAAAAGTATTAATTTTTACAGCAATAAATTTTTTCCTATTTCATCTCAAAATTTAATAAATAACCCCCCAAAAAATTTATCCTCTCCCCATTAAAGCAGCTTACCCCCTACCCCCTCAAAAAAAATAGGATGCAAACTGTTCCTACCTATCCCGCTCATGTAGACTCTGCCTAGTAGAATACCCCCCTTAAATGCCTACCCCTTACCCCCCCCCTCTAAATACCTAACCCCACCTCTCTCCCCTTCTTTGGATGCAAACTTTTCCTATCCCAGATGGAATCCAGACATGGATCCAACTCAAAAAAAAAATATCTATTCACGATGGTACAAAAATACGTTTCTAGGTTTCATTCATAAAAAATAAAATATCGGTTTGAACCTTTAAAAATTTGTTTGAAGACTTTTGAATACAAACCTGCATTCAAATTAAGTAGAGGGAAGTACTATTTTTATTTCTCATTATTAAAATAAAAAGCGCATGCATAAAATTTTCATTATTTGTACATTATCAATAAATATTATTAATTTATAAATATGACAGATAAATATCAGTTAATATTTTATTATTGAACAATATTTATTTATTTAAAATATTTTTATTGAACCTCATAATTAATATATTTCCAGAGTTGAGCAGTACCGCGAATACTTGTATCTAATATACAAGATACCTTTGTATCTTGTACTCAGTTTTGACATTTTTAGTAAGGTACTACTACCTGTAAATAAAACTTTATTCTGAAAAGAATCCTGTATTTTTTCCATTTTCTTGACCAATGATACAGATACTTTTAAATATTCTTGTTTAAAAAATTTACATATAACAGAATATAAATTTGGAGAATCATGTATTAACTTCCTTATTATTTTTCTGCCATTTGAATATATTGACATCTTAAATCAATTTGAAATTTGACAACTCATATTAAGATAGATAGATAAAAAAAATAACAACACCAAAATGAAATAAATAAAGAATATATTTTATACATAATGTAACTCGATAGAATATCATTAACAATTTTATGTAAACTTTTCCATAACACTAATGGTATTGAAGAAGAAGGTAGTTAAAGTGAAATTATGGAAATAGGTCCCCCTATAATAAAAGGACAATGTACTGGCTGAATAATGTCAAACCTATACAAAGAAAAAATGATGAAGGGTTCAGCACATTATACAAATTTTGCTAGACAACTATCGGTCAAATCACATTATTTTTAAAAAATATTTTAGAATAATGCTTACCATACAGATGTAATATATACATATAGAAAAATAATGAAAATTTTTCCGTGTATAACGCTGGCAATGCATTATTCAGTCATTGGATCGGTTATGAGTCGGTTATAGAATGTCAGAAACCTATCATTTTTTTAATTTTTAGGTGTTCCATATGTTTTTACACCGCGCTAACAATAATCATTCAGGTTTCCTAATATATTTTAATATATATGTATTTAACGCCCTCTTTTGGAGATAAATATATTTATTTTAAATTTGAAAAATAAAATTTGAAAAATAAAATTTGAAAAATAAAATTTGAAAAATAAAATTTGAAAAATAAAATTTGAAAAATAAAATTTGAAAAATAAAATTTGAAAAATAAAATTTGAAAAATAAAATTTGAAAAATAAAATTTGAATTAATAAGCTAGTAATTCCTTTTTAAATTAGGGACACTATAATTATGTATCATTTTTTATAAATCCACTACCTGATTTCTGACATCTCCCAGAGGTCCTAATCAGCGTAGCCAGATCTCCCGATTTTAGCTTAAATCTCCCGATATTTTACTTTAGTATAAACCAAAACACGCCTTCTATTAATTTACGCTTTCTCCCGAATTTTATAGCTTACTTCCGATTTTTTTTAAAAAAACTCATGTTTTTTTATAAATTTTTTAAAATAGGTTAACAAGTAAAATCTACCATTTTTTATTTTAATTCAATCATAAATTTAAAAATGTTTGTTTATTTTTTATCTATATTTTGAGAAAGGAAAAAAAAACGAATTCTAAAAAAATATATAAAAATTTTTTTCAATCTCCAAAACTTTTCAATTTAAAATATATTAATAATATTTAATTAATTTTTAAGCTAAATTATGATATATCATATAATAATTACTTCCTTTGATTATGATGATGATTTGCAAAGGTGAAGTAAGTATTTTTTATAATTTTTGGAAATAAATCTATTATAATGTTGTAAACGAACGTGAACGAAGTTTATTTTTTTGGAAAAAATGATGAATGACATTCCTTTTTTTTGACAATTGCGTTCGTTTTTTACGTTCGTTCAATTTTAGAAAATCTTCTTAATTTATTTATTTAAAAATATAAAATATTGATTTCATTATTTAAAAATTAATCAGAAAATTTTAATATATTTTTATTAATTTATATAAAGAAAATATGGAGATGAAAAATGAATGTCAAATTGCCGGTCAGGATGAAAATACAAGGAAGACATAAAAAATTTTACAGTAATTTTATTAACAAGAAAGAATAAGGAAAAAAAAATGTGAAAATTATTGAAAGTAAGGATGGGAGTATTTTATTTTAAATAAACTTATTTTTTACTATATATTTAATATCAAAACTACAAAAATCACAGAAAAATTTATTAATTTATTAATTTCTTAATAAATGATAAAATAAATTCAAGTTTTTATTGATTTTTTATTTGCTATATTTTTATATAGATAATTGAATTTTACGAGTTAGCAGATATAATCGACAATAAATTAATATTATAAAACATTTATATATTTTTATCCGAAATTAAATTGAATTACCTCACTCATAGAAATGGAAAGATTTTTGTGGATTTTAAGCAAAGTTTGTAAATTAAACACAATCGAGAAAATTGAAAATAATGTATTAGTTTGCTATAATGATAAATAGGTATGACAACAATCGATATGCGATGCTTCAAAAAGGACTGTAGAATTATACTTTACACTGAATTGGAAACATTTCAAAATTGATATAAAAATATACAAACAGAAACATGGCTATGTCAAGGATTGATTTTATCAGTCATGTGCTTTATGTGGATTAATTGCGATATTTTCGCTATGAAAAAATTTTAAAAAACCTCGGAAAAAATTTTGATTCTATATTAAATGTCGCTAACTTTAAATTTATATGATATTTATATGAAAATAGTCATAATTATTTAATCTTGAGCGCTTTTTGACATGAGAATTTAAGATTTTCCAAAATATATATAAACTCGTCAAAAAATAGAGGGTATTCTTAATAGTAAGGAAAATTAGTCACGGGCCGTTTATTTAAGGGAAACTTTAATATAAGATATCTTTCTGATTATTTCCAAAATGGACCAAAAAATATTAATATATATTTAATTGCAAAAAGTGGTATATAGATATTTTTATTAATATAGTAATTATTAATTTTATTATCTTAAGCACTGATTGACATAGTTAAAAGTTAAGATTCTCCAAATTATTCATAAAATTTAAGATTCTCCAAATTATTCATAAAATTTAAGATTCTCCAAATTATTCATAAACTCGTTAAAATTATAGTGTATTAATATTTAGTAGTAAAGATTAGCCCCTGGCAGATTAAAAAACATAATTTTTTTCATAAAAAACAATGCTTGTTTTGAAAAAATACGTTTTACTTCAAAGATTCAATATTTTGTTTTGAATAAAACAAAAACGTTTTTGAAAAAAATAGTTTAGTAATATAAAAATTATTGAAAAAAATTATTTGTTTTAAAAAACATTTTGAATTTTTATTTCTCTATTTCCCCAATAATTGGGGAATATAGTTTTGATTTTTCTCTATTTCACCCATAAATAGGGTATAAGGGTATATAATTTTTTATATCTACCCCTATAAATTCTATTTTCAATGGGGTATATATATTATCTATTTATCCCATAAATTCCATTTCTTCCCCCATAAATATAATATAATTTTTCTATATATCGCCTTAAATTCTATTTGCATCCTAAATATGGTAAGCCCATAATGGGGGTATTCAGCCAGAGTGGTGTTGAGATGATTGAGGTCGACAATGTCGATCGAGATAACATTTAGCATAAAACGTTTTTTTTATGTAAGACGATTTATCATCAATCCATTTTTTCAATTTAGAAACACGCATGAATATATTGACGTTGTTCATAATTTTGCCCATTTTCTACAGCGATTTAACAGCGATTTGGGTAGATGTCTTGCCAAATACAAAAAAATGCTTCCAAGAAGAAGTACACAAGGATGTTCCAGTTGTAGGGGAATATGAAATAGATAATCTTCATGGAAACCATGTTTCTATCTCGGTAATGTATAATTTGCTATATATTTATATAGAGCCAATAAATATAAGAAAATTATTTGAAAATAATAACTAAAATATTACATAATCTATTTGATTATTAAGGAATTTAATCCAGCTTTTTTTAAACTTTTTACTTCTAAATATCACTAAATGTTATTAATTTAATTCATAATTAACGAGAAATAATATATTACAAATATTATAATTAGTTGATCTTACCATTTGTATGAATTTATATATAATAACTCAACTCTAAAATACAACAATATTTCTTCAAATTTTTTCTTATTTTTAAAATCACACATTATATTATTTAAAGTGTTGCAAATTGGTGTTAAAGTTTAGCATGTTATTGCAAACATTAGAAGCAAAAAAAGTTAATATCACATAATTTTATATGAAATAGCATCAATTATATAATTAAAATATTCATTTACAACAATTAAAAATTATTTTTTGGTAATTAGAAGATTTTAAATTAATATATATATTTAATCATCTCTTTGGTCCAATATAGCAAAGCTAAATATTTACAAGAGCTGATGATAAAATGAAATATTTGTTTCTTTCCAAAATTTTAGAAACTATTTTTAATACTAACAAATTTAAATATATTTTTGTTATATTAAATTTACAATTTGCATATATAGGAATGCATAGAAAATATAAAAATTAATATGCTCTGATTCTATATTGAAATTATTGTCTTAATAGGGATTTATCTTCTTTAAAAGGTGGGGTTCTATGGACCCAGCATAATTTCCATTGGGTTCAGTACTGACCCAAATTAGAATTCTTTTTTTTAAATGAGATTCAGTGTGCTGCCATAAAGTTTATAAAAATAAGGTTCGGTATAAATTTAAATGAGTATTAAATTACTAGGGCTGTGTCGATTTGACGTTTTTAAAAAATATCGGATTGGGCTGATATTTTTTAAAAGAAACCGATCCATTTTTATTTTTTTAGGTTAATTTAATGTTTATACGATTATAATATTTTCTTTAAAATAATTTATTACATAAATAATTAATTAATAAAAAAGAACCAAAATTTATTTAATGGCTAACTCTAGATTTTAATCAAAAGTAAATTATCCCAAGCTTGGAAATTTTCTCCACAAATTACAGAAAGGTCCGGGCATCTATTTTTATGTAGTTGGGGCAATGGCTAAATGCTGATTAATTCTGCTCAATCTTCAGAAACCTTTTGGAGAAAATTTGTTAACATTAAGGCCTTTTAATTTATATTAGTTTCTTTCAAATTTGCGCTGCTATCCTTTTAAGAAAAACCCTAAAATGATACATGGTTTAGCCGATTTTTTAGTCGGCTATAAATTAGCCTAAACGCCTAAAAGTATCGTAATTAATTAGGCTATAATATTTTGGCTAAAATATTGATTTCACCCTTTTTAAAAATATTCCAAATCCAGCCTTAAAAACACTATTTCAGTCATAATCGCTTTTATTTTAAATGAGATTAATTTTTGGAGAATGAAGAAAAAAAATATCATTCTTTAAAGGCTAGTTGGTATTTTTTTTTGAATAGGAATCATTCATTTTTCTATGATATAGATAATAAATAAATCGATATAAATATCGGATAGTAATACCCGGTCCTATCGGTGAAAATAGTGAATCGACAGCCCTATAATTACCTAAACTATCGATCAAACAGAATGAGGTATGTAAGTTTATTTCGAAATCTTTCGGTAGCTATTTTTATTACACCTAAAAAATTTGAAACAAACGGTAATCAAGTGAGGAGACCTGTATCGCAATGCATTAGGAGTGCTATTCTCCTCTATAAAAAAATCAAGTTTTGGGCGGATTCTTATATTCTTTACTTTTCCTTTCGAAGAAATAAATAATAAAATGACTTAAATTCCTGAGCCTGGTTAGGGAATTGGGTTCGAGTTTATAATAACTATTTTCGGGTTTGGGGAAAAAAGGGTTCGGTTCCTGTTCAAAATCCTGTTAAAAGGCTTCTTTTCCATATTATTCTTTTTTTCTCGATTTTTTAAATGCGGATCAGAAGATAGTAGCTTAAAAAAGAGTCCTTATAAATTCATTTAGTATTCATATATTTAACTAAACCGTTTGTTTACCACATTCTCAATAGCCTTTGCTATCTCCCAATTTGGTAAAAAAAAATAAGTACAAATTCTTCATAATAACAATTATTTGGATCATAAAATTTGTCATTTATTATTGCTAATTAGACTTATAATAGTAAGGTTTGAATTTAAGAATATTCAATTTTTCACATTTAGGCTTAAAACTCAGCAGTTTAAAGATTTGCCCACCCCTATTATAATTCCTATATATAATGTCACTTTGTTAAAGTAATACCATTCCTTGTTCCCTCTTAAAACGATATATATATATATATATATCCAATAATATATTTTTTTTATATTAAAGGTCACTAATACCAAAGATCATTCATTTTACCAGAAAGATGAAGGCTCAAAGGCGAAATTTTCTTTCACCAGTGATGAATACGATGTTTGCGACATTTGTTTCCAAGTCAAATCACAACGTTTTATCAATATTATATTGTTTGTTTATTTATTTTTAACACATCTAAAAATGATAAGTGGAAGAAATTTGAAAGTATATTGAATATGCTTTGAGAATTGAAATAAATTTCATAAGATGCGATGATTTTTTTTTTCAAAAAGTGAATTAATTATAAAATGTTTAATTTTTATTGCTCGACTTCTAAAGACAGATATTGTTAACATTTTGAAATTAATATTTATCCTACCATTTATTTATTTTTTTTAGAGACAAATCCCCAGCTCTTTACACCTATATATTTTGAGATGAAGCACGGTGTAGACGCCAAAAATTTTGACGATGTAAATAATATATTTTTTTATTTGATATCGGTTTCAAATTATTATATTAGATGATATAAACTTTTAATATACCCTTCTAGGGGCACGTTAACTATTAAGATTCTTTTACATTATACTACGACTCCTCTTTTTTTAAGCTACTTAAATGAAACGACTAGATAACTGCATTGAGTCTAAATATAATTAGGCCTGACCAAAAAAAGCCCGGCCCCGATAAAAAAATATCATAGCCAGAACCAAAATTATTTTCAAAAATAAGGCTCACCTAAGACCAAAGTAAATTCGAACCCCACGGTTGTCGGGTCTGACACCCCAGAAATGTTCAAAATATTATTACAAACTAAGTTTGCGTAAAGTTTTATGCATTTTTAAATTGAATTATTTTAAGATATAAATATTTAACGAAGGTAAAAGATGCACATTTTAATATTTAAAAGGAAAAAAATTATTATTAAAACGAGTTTTATATTTTGTTCCGATATTTATTAATTAAATATTATTATTATTGATGTTTTTTATAATATTATAAATATAATATTTAGCACTTTTCTACTTTTAATACTTTCTACGAAAATTTCCTTATTTTTAATTCTTATTCAATATAAAATATTATAATTTATAATTAATTTAAGGCCAAAAATGTCCAAAATATCATATGGAAATTTGATTGAGATATAAAAGTTTAAAAATTAGGGTCCCACTTACTACCGTTATTTTTTTCACATCCCACTCAAGGGTTCAATAAATTTGTAAATTATAAATTTTTAAAATAAATTTTCAGTTCTACTGTCATTGGGGAAAAAAAATTGTAATCCTAATATATAATCCATCTAATATATCCTAGAAATAAGAATGATAATTTTTTAAGAATAATAGAAATGTGATATCAAAATTCATTTTTTTAAAAAATACACCTTTTATATTCGTATAACCATGTATATATATATTCCTTAGTTGGGTGCCGCCGCTAATTTAAAACCACTGGAGATTGAAATGAAGAGGTTAGAGGATCTATCCTATGAGTTGGTCCGAAATTTGGTCGAAATGAAAAAAAGGGAGAAAGATATGAGATCTAACAATGGTTATTTTTTCTATAATTTTTTTTTTTTAAAGTAACTATTTTAATCGGAAATTATAAGCATTGATATTAACTTTTAACCCCCTGTCCATTTTGATTAAAAGGTGATATATTAAATGGAGGAGGGTTAATTGTGATTCCACTATATCTTACTTCAACGGTCCTACCTATTCGAAACTTTTTTTTCTTAGAATAGCTAAATATCATTGTACAATCGAGGAATAGATATGCGGCCAAATTACATTATTAATTTTTTTTTATCATTCATTCATTATTTTGGTCATTTTAAAAGGATCTAATACATATAATATTTTACATTTTCACAATCACACAGAATCAACTAGCAATCGGGTGTTTTATTTTAGCGTTTTCGGGATGCTATGCTTGTTCTCTTTGGCCTTCTGGCAAGTCCTTTATCTGAGAAGATATTTCAAAGCCAAAAAATTAATAGACTAATCAATCAATAGTCTCATTTCCTTCCTCACAAAATGCGAAATATAGATATTTTTTTAAAAAAATTTGAACTACCAACCATATACACCTTCCTTTTTTAAACCCATATAATACCTAATTTATTTTTTTATTTATGATTAATAGTTTTAAATCACAATCAACATCCTAAAACATTAAATCATTATTAAATTGGATCGTTATCTAAATTGCTTTATATATTTTTTCTTCTTCTAATCATATTTTCAATTATATTTTACTCTCATTCGTTATTTTATCGAATTTTTGTAATTGACCTAAATATATGAATTTTAAACCGATTTTAAAAAGAAATTCCCTATCTTAGCCTAATCCTACTGTTCATGCCTATCTCCTTTTTAAACCCTTAGATATGTGATGATGATAAATAAAATATTTTTTTGAACTACTATTGAATTTGCATAAATTTTATTTAAATAAATATACAAGTTTATAATAATATCTATAGTATATTATCTCTACAAATACAAATAATTAATATGAATATATAATTTAGGAAAATAACTAGCTACCATCAATTTAATATTGTTAGTTATAATATGTATATATCTTTAAAAAAAATAGTTATTTTTAATTGTTATGAAAAGGATATAATTGTAGCGCAGTCGTCAATCATTTTGAGCTTATTTAAATAAGTATGCACAATATAGTACTAGATATATATTATTTTTGAAATGCGCATTAAATACGATAATATAATATGTATAATTAAATGGATTAAGTATTAAAATATGGAGGTAAGGAAAAAAAATAATATATAATAAAAATTGTATATTTTGTTTTGGAGATCATTGCCTACAATTTTTTTCCCCTTACACTTTTTGACCTCTTGAGAATCATCGGACAATAAATAAAGGTGAAGTTGGAGATGTACTTAACAATGAACGTTCATGGTATGCGAAGACATTATTATTGATAAATTTTATGGAAGATTCATAGTTTATAGAATTGAAGGCGTTATCGGTGGAGGAAGAGGAATATTCATTTTCCTGCGGTGATGAGTTGGTGATACTGAGAGGAGTGGAATTTTTAGCCGAGAAATTGGTTTTCTTATTTGGCTGGTTAGGCAGAAGGCGAGGTTGTAGAGGGATTTCAAATTCGAACTTGAGGTTGGTATACTGCCCCATTTTGGCATGATACAAAGACATGAAGGCTTGGTTATCCTGCTGGTCAAAATAGTTTTTCCAATCGCCGACTATACCTTTATATTATTTAGTTAATAAGTAAAAAATAATATATATACACAAATATCCAAAACGATGATCATCATAGGACAAATAATTTATATTTACTAAATTATTTTAAATCAAGGTTTTTAAATTTAATTTAAAATTATCATATATTCATCATCAAAACGATGATCATCATAGGACAATTAATTTATATTTACTAAATTATTTTCAATCAAGGTTCTTTTAAATTTAATTTATATACGATTCTTTAACTTTTTATCAAATTAAATATTTACACTTTTATAAGTTTTAAGTGTCTAATTTTCTCATGTTTATTATATGGAAATAGAAACCTTAATGGATATTGATGATAAATCTTCCAATTTTAATTATTCCTAAATTAATAATAGTTCCAAAAATATTCTTAAAGAAATAGTAAATTTAATTAAAGTACAAAAAATGAAGAGGTTGAAAAAGTTATTTCATAAGAGCGAATATTTACTTTATAGAGAAGCTAAGCTCTATGATTAACTAATTGATTAATTCTTAAAGTTTAAGAACTGATTTGGAGTCTCCAACGACAAAAACAATTGTAATAATATTATATTATTAACGTTAATAGTAAACTGATTTTACGTGAAACCTAAAATATTCAATATTTTATATATTATTCTTTTTAAATATGAAATTTTCCAGTTTTTCCCTTAATTTTAAATTTCTCGAGAAATTACACTTAAAGTTCAAAACCAGAAATTCTCTTTGAGGATTATTATATATATCTATGCCTGCCATTCAATAAACTAAATAAATTTACAAAAAAATTAAACCTTTTCTCATAAAGTTTCCTTTGGATTTATCGAATATTGGAATCCAATCGCGATTAGCCTTTTCATTCTTTTGCATGGATTCGAATGAACAATGGTTTAGCACTTTGAAGATTTGCTCGTCAGATAGATCGGCTCCCAAGAAATCTGCGATTTTTTCTATATTTTCTCGGAAATTCTTTCAAATTTTTTTTTTTAAAATATATATATATAAATATCATGACTATAAATAGGGCCAATATTTATTTGATTGCCCGGGAAAAGTTTTATAATTTAATTCTTCCTATCAAAATTATTTGCAATTATTCAGTTTTAAAGACTTTGAAGTAAAGCCCTTTCGAAGAATTCCTTGACCTGTAGCCAGTCCCAATTTTTTATTTTTAGGATCGAGCTACGCCTGGTCAGTTTGTAAGTTTAATATGAAGTAAACGCAATTTTATAAATTTAAACGAGACAAAAAAGAAGTGATTAATAACTTTTATCCTAAATTCTACCAAGCGAAAAAAATCTTTTTAGCCACAAGCCAAACTTAAGGCTCTACAATAAGGTAACTAATAACCTAAATTAATAGGGAAGGGTGAGTGGGGTGAATTCTTATTTGATTTATAATGATCTGAAAAAATGGAATGAAAAGAAACTTTCAAAAAATAAATTATAAAAAATCTGCCTTTAGGATAGGGGCAGGTTATACATCGTCTATCCACTAAGTTCTAATAGATACTAGCGGCTAATTTTTAAAAAAAATTAATTTTCAGGGATTTAAAGAAAAACAATTAATAAATATAAGATTGTGTTTTTTCGGGGAATGTATTATTTTTTCAACTTTGAATCATTTTTTGAATGCGTTTTTTTTATAAATTTAAAGGTCTGATTTCACCTAAAATGTATTCCAGCAAGTTTAGAATACCTGTCTTATGAATTGTATACATTTTTGCCATTAGTCTTTGAGTCATTTATAATTTATATAAAAAAATTTATGGAAAAACGAATATAGATTATATTAAGTTCAAAAGTTCATGACAAAATCGCCCGAAATTCATAGGTTAGGTATTCCAAATATGATGTTAAAAAAAAACTTACTCAACAAATGATTTATAGTTAAAAAAAATAATACATTGCAGGAAAAAAAGACATTACCATCACATATATAAATGATAATGTGATGGATGATAATACCTTTTTCATATCTTCGTATTTGAGGAACAAAATGTTTTTCTCTGTTTGCTCCCAATATCCTATTACATGGTCGAACCAGGATCCACAAACAGCTTTATTTTTATTTTTTTGAAGAACATAAAAAAAATTGAGGATTTAAAAAATATTCCTTTTTACATTATTTTTGTGGAAAAATCATATAATGAATGGTATATTAATTAATATTCATTTTTTAACTGCTTCATAGTTTTTCGAATTTCCCGTTGAAAACAATTTAAGAGAAACATTACCAAGATTATTTATAATAATAACAATATTTTTTGATAAAAAAAATTAAGAATTTAGGGTCTTAAGAAATAGCCTGGCAGGAACAGACTTGAAAATAGGGGTAAAAAATCTGTTATTTTTTTTTTTAAAAAAAGTCAAACTCTATAAGAATATTAACAAAATATATAGTATTAAAAAAATTTAAGGGCTAATAAGGGGAAGGGGATGACATTATTTTTTAAAAAAAACTTAATTATTTCATTTTTGAGCTTTCATGTTTAAAAATTCTGGTTATATTTTGGTGATTTCTTTTGATGAATGACAAAAAAATGTAAATCATCCTTTAATCTTCAATTTTTGCTTTTTTTTAAGGTGAATTTGTTAGGCATAAAATTCGTATTAATGAATTAATCATTATATATATATATATAAAAAAATTTTATATTACCATATAATTCGCTCGCAACTAAAAATGTAACGAGTTAAAAAAAAAATCAAAAAATTTTTTCCACGGTTTTACAAAGGTAATTTGAACCCCATATTATAATTTTTATCCCAAACTTTACAAGATTTTATTAAATACGAATTTATATTTTTGAAGAAAAAAAAACACTTAAATGACGTAATAACTACATTAACAAAATTTTATTTAAGGACATTATAAAAAGGTAATAAAGTAGCAGCAAAAATTTTTTATAATAAAAAAAAATATAGGGTGAATTACGTTTTTTTTAATGCTAATTTTTTTTTTGACTAGATATGACGTCAGGAATAATTTAATTTTTTTTTTAGCAAAAAAATATGTAAAATTTGGTAGGGGAGGGGGTGAGGGTTTAAATTTGTCATCTTTTTAAATAAATGATAATATAATGATTAAATTGTTTTACCAAAAAAAAAATTTCCCGAAAATAAATTATATTTTTTGACCAATAATATAACTTCAACAATAAATTAATAACTTTTCAGATAGAGAGGGAGAAGAAAGCTGGATTTTTACTTTAGAAATCATGTTATTACCAAAAATAAATTATTTTTAAAAAATTTATTAGATTAGTGAATAAAATTATTTGTCGAAATGAAAAATTCGAAAGTAATTTTAAATTACACGAAAATATATTCCAAAATTATTGAATACTCAAGGAAGATTATTGGCAAATATTTGAAATTATTTATAGGTATCCAACATATAATCTTTGTATAACTTTTTTTTAAACTTTAGTTCCATATCTTTTTAATGGTTTTTTTTTTAAATTTAAATTTAACGATCCATTTTTTCATTTATAAAATATTTTCAAAACAATTTAGTTTTCGAAGAAAATAATGGCTTTATTTATAGGAATGCGAAGGATAAATTATTATATTAGTATTTTAGTTTGGTATAATATGCATAACATTTCACTTCAAAGATTATATAATTCTTTTTAAATAAATTAGGATTTTTCTCCAGAGAATTAAATTTCTAATCATTCTTTAGTTAAAAATTATTTCTTCTTGTAAAATATATTATTATTATTCAAAATATTTTACTCAGCATATTTAAAAAAGAAAAGAAAAATATTTTAAAAAATGTTAAGGGGGCCATCTCCATTTCCGTTAAAATTTTGAAAAAGAAGTTATAAATATTACTTTTGCCTGCCGAGAATAGAGCTAAGAAGTCCTTGAAGGAGCCAGAAAAATTTCCTAGATCTTTAGCCATCCTATGATGATGATAGAACGAGACCGCCACATCTTTAGGGTTTCTCATCACGTATATAACCTTTTTTTTAAATAAATAAAAAGGGAGTTTATATATACTATGTTGTATTTTTTTTTATTACACAATCTTTCTTATCTTTATTAGGCTGAATTATTTTTTTGAAAAGTTCATACTGCGGCTATTCCCGTACCTTTATAAAAGTTATGAGATTATATGACTTTGAAAGAAATATCTGAATCAAAATCTTTATTTAAGATATATAATAAGAACTTCGATATTGAATTAATCTTTAAATTTTTTTCAAATTTATAATAGTCGAAATTCTTTTAAGAATTTTATTAAAATGACTTTTTTTTATGGACTCAAAAGTTATCTAATAATTGCATGCTAGAAATAAATTAACATTTTCTACTTTATATATTTGAAAACTAATTCTTTTCGTTTCTTTTAAATATTCATTATTATATAATTTTTTTTTCTAAAAACATAATATCTTTACGGTTCTCGTTCTAAATCGCTAAAAAAATTGAGAATATCGGTTATATCTCTTAAAATTTTTGTAAACTTGAAATTTATATCAATAGATGTTAGGAAAGAAAGTAAACACTTAAATTGTGTTTTTTTTCTTCATTTTTAGCGATTTTTTTTTGAAACTTAATTTTAATACAAGTTTCCCTAGTATTTATTAATATTTTTTTTTTGATATTACTTTTAAAATTTTCTACCCAATTTTTAGCGATTTAGATGTTATTCCTTTTATACTACTTATTTAGATTGAAAAAGTATTATGTCTTTAAAAAATCGCCATTTGTTACAATTAATCTCATTCAAATGCTGAAAGAAAGTTTAAAAAAAAACAATAAATGAATTTTTACACACTTTGCAATCTCCTTTCTTGATGGAATCTGGTAACAAGTGGAATGGTAAATGGGTGCCAAAGATTCTAGGCGACCCTAGATCCTCTAGCAATTTGAGGGATCTGTTTGGCGGGGTCTCCAAATGAATCACCCTTTCCGATATGTCCAGACTTTTAACGAAAGGAATATTCACCTCACTTTTGATGAGAGAAACTATTTCAGCCGTCCAAGTGGTACCTTAACGCGCAAAAATATTTTAATAAAATGTTTTTATTATATTATAATTTAATAGATATATTAATATACACTTTGGTAAGAATGGGAGTAAAAAAAAGGCTTTGACAATAAAAATAATCTTTAGAAACCTTTCAATGAAGTAATGCAGTTTTACTAAAAAATTTTAACCTAACGAAGTTATCATTCCAATTTAACTAGGTAAAAATGGAGCATTTAGAAATCGGTACTAGAAGCCTAAAACCGCTCAAATTTAAGAAACCAAAAAAAAACCCCTACTTTTCAAAGTTTTCAAAATGGAATTACAACCCAATAAAAAAAACTAATATTGTTAACAACCAAAACCCCCTTTAATCTGGTAAAAATGAATATTAATATAAATTATTTTTATAAAAAAAAATTAGTGTTGTTAAATGGCTCGATTTTTTAAAAAGGGCTAAAACCCAAGGATAAAATATTTTAGCCAAAAAATATTTACGCGGCCCTGGAGATTTTGCTCATATATAGCAGAAAATTCTGGACATCTATTAAACGAAATCTCGAGGTTTGCATAACATTTTTTGGCTAAAATATAGGGTTAGCCGTTACTAATTTTTTTTTTAATAATAATTTCAAAATATGTTTTTTTTTTACAAAAACCTGATTTGGGAAAAGTAGCTATGAATATATCATCCTTGCGCACTTTGAAACTTTGAATATCGTTCAGAACTTCTGGTTTGAACAGAAACCCGGGGTAGAGAATGCCCTGCCATATGTGAGCTTCCTCAATTTCCTTCACGTAGCATTCGTATTTTTCGTTCAATGTCATTAATTTAAATTTTTTTTTAATAAAAAGTATTTATTTTATAATTGAATTTTATTTTATTTTTAAATTTAATTATTTTTAAAAAGATTGAGTGTCGTTTACATTTTCGCCTGTCGCTTTTTATACTTGATCCAATCATTATTTTTTTTATTATTAAAAAAAAAGATTTAAAAATTAAAATAAAAATTAGATAAATTTATTCTTTTAAAAATATAATAATTAAATATTAGTAATAATGATTTATAAAATAAATAAGAATTATTATTATTTATTTTATTTTTTTTACCTTTTGTAAATTATATAATAAATAACTAATAAAGTTATGTATTATAATAAGTATAATTTTTCAAAATTTATATTTTTTTTCTTATTTTCTCAATTTATTTCAGAAAAATCTATAATTTTTTGATAATTTTGATTTATCCAAAATAAAGGAAAAAAAGATAAGAAAGAAATGTTTTTCCATTATTGTTTTTCTTACCCTTTATTGTTATTTTTATAGAGTTATTTACCGGAAAGATTGCTTCAAGTGAGTGGATTGAGACTGGGGTCTTTGCTAGCCATAGTTAAATTTTTTGATTTTTACCAAAAAAAATAATAATATATGAACTACATATAGGGCAATCCAGCTATAATTTTTTTTTATTTTATTGGATCATGTTATATTTTTTAAAAAAAATTTATAACAGCAATATATGATTAATATTTTTGTACCCTTCAGAAAAGGGATAAGAAAAATTAAGAAGAAAAATACCCCCTATTTTGCATAAAATAGTAATTTATTTATTTTTTTAAATAAAAAATGTAGGGTTAAAACTACCTTAAAATAGAAGTGTAATGATTTTTGAAGTTTGAGGCTACTTTTGTGAGGTGGAAACGATGCATTTTACGCACAAATTTTTATATAATATGAACCAGAAATTTATAATTCATTCTTTTTTTAAAAAAAATAAGATAAATGTTTTAAAAAATAATGATAAAAAAATGATTTCGTTTCTCGACACAGTTCCATGAATAGGCTAAACCTTACCCGAATATGGTTCAACCATCCCCAAAATATTTATCTTTTTCATCAAAAAATATTATGATATTTATACGTAATGTAGAAGTAAAGTAATTGGAACAAAACTATATATATATAAAATTATCAAATAATTTTGATTTTGTTGCATTTGCTTTTTAGGACTTGCGCCATCCCCAGTCTCTTCTAAATATTCGTATGATCTCGGTTCCAACTTTTACTCCTGTTTGTATATTGTTAGTAGTATGTCCATTTAAAGGAAGCAATAAAGATAGCAAGAAAGAAAGAAGAAAGAAAGAAAGAAAGAAAGAAAGAAAGAAAGAAAGAAAGAAAGAAAGAAAGAAAGAAAGAAAGAAAGAAAGAAAGAAAGAAAGAAAGAAAGAAAGAAAGAAAGAAAGAAAGAAAGAAAGAAAGAAAGAAAGAAAGAAAGAAAGAAAGAAAGAAAGAAAGAAAGAAAGAAAGAAAGAAAGAAAGAAAGAAAGAAAGAAATTTGTTTCTGCAATTTTATTTTTTCCAAGCGTTTCCACAGGAACAACATTTGTCTTCTTATTTTTTTTCTCTCTCTCCAATCTTAAATTATTCTTAAAACCTTTTTTGGCAAATTTATATTTGAAATATTTTTTAAACCCTATAAACTATGAACTCTCCTAATTTTTAATTTCGGAAAAATTATAAGGGATAGAATATATAAATACCAGAGTCTGCAGAGGTCACGGCCCGGTCCGGAATTTGTAAAAAATTTTATATTTATTTTTAATTTTTATAACTAATAATTAGCTGTTTAAAATATTTGGTTTAAAAATATACGCCCCGGCCCGGGTATAGTTTTTAGTCACGGGTTATATTTTAAAAAAAAGAAGATTTAAATACTGCATGCCTCTGATAAATACAATTGAAAATAGAGAGTTTAAAAAACTTTAAGTTTTGAAAAATTTTCGGCCGTAATTTTGTAAATTGTTATAAAAAGGGGAAATTTAAAATATGAGCAGAATAACAAGACGCACATTTATATCTGATTTTTTCTTTAAATTTTTTTAAAAAACCGCCCACACCGAGTAGTGGTAATAAATATTCCAAGAATTTAAAATCTATTTTTTTTGTGTTACTTTTTGTTTTTTTTGTTTTTTTAAATATATTATAAGTTTATAATAGAAATCAAGAAAAAAAATCCCAAATAGGGTTTTATTATGCGACAAAATAATAAGATAAATAAATAATAACGAAAACACTGTTAATTCTTCGCCAAATATACATTAATGATCTGCATCGGGCCTAATTTTTCAAGCCAGGCCCGGCCCGAATTTTTTTTAAAAGTTTTGCCCGGTCCGGCCCGAACTCGAAATTTTTTTAAAAACCGGCACGGCCCTAATTTATTTTAATATAGAAATTAATTTTTATGATTACTCAAAATAAACGATATATGTTATATGGGTCTACTTTCTATAAATAAAACCACATATTTTTATTTTACATAAAAAATTCAACATAAAATTAATAAATTTAGATATATTTTAAATAATTTCTAAGGCCCAACCCGACTCGGCACGGGCCGGGCCTACTTTTGCAGATCTCTAATATACATCGTATATTAGATAAAAATATAACATTTTCTTTTCTTTTTTTTTTTAAAAAAAATTATATTAAAATCGGATGTTTTTTTACCTCTTTCTTCTTATATTTTTTTCTTCATTTTCTTCTTCTTTCTCTCTTACTTGTTTCCCCGTAATAAAAAAAAAGACGGATATCAATACCTGAAGAAAAATAAAATAATGATTCACTTAAAAAATATACATCATAATTAGTTGTTAATTTATATTTATCTAATTTATAGTCATATTATATAATATATAAATATTTAATTGATAATTTGAAATTATATATATAACTCTTAATTAATAAAATAGGAATTAAAATTTATATATATATCAATCCTCCCCAAAATATGTAAGAAGATATATTAAAATTAATTAAAATAAAATTGATATATTTAATGATTTTATTCTTGATTTATAAATTGTGGGACACTGAACCTTTTATTTTTGAAAAATATTTTTTTTATTTTATATAGGTATGTTATATTAACATTATATATCTTTATTTTTTAAACAAAAAAAATGTTTTATCATCTTCATAATATAATTAAATTATGTAAGTTTGTACTAGAAAAAAAATAACTGTAAAAAACTAAGTATTTTTTTTAAAAAAATAAATTTGAAAAATCAAAGTAATTTATAAATATTGGATAAGGATACAATAAAGTATAAAGATAATATTATACCCCAAATCGACTTTGTACTCTACCTTTCCATAAAGATAAATTATGAATGAAAACAAATCTTACTATTATTTTTTATAGGTTGGGCGGGTTAATAATATATTATAGTTAAACTTTTTAAATTAATTTTAAAAAAATTATTGAGAAAAACACACAATGCCGAGGTCAAAGTGTCGAAACAAATTTATATAGAAATTTAAAGATGACAAACCCTTATATTCTAAACTGTTTGTATTTTTATACCCTTATTGCTTGACAGAGGTAAGGAAAAAATAACAGAAATCAACTCCAAACATAGAGAAGAAAAAAAAACATCGTTTTCAGAAAGAATGAAAGTAGTTTGGACTATTAAATTTTTTCAAATTGATAATTTATATAATATAACATATTACTGTATATTCTATAGTATAAGAATTCTCTTATTTATTTTTACAGATTTCTGCTAATAAAATAACTAAATTTTTTTACTAAACGACTTGTTTTTATTTATAGATTTGACTCAAAAGTGGTTTTTGGTACTAATTAAATTCGACCATTTTTTTTTGAAATATACCAAACCAGGGATTATCTCCCTTTGTTTAATCTTAAATATACCGCTTTTATTTACCAATAGAAGAATTAAGTGGTGAGGGCATAACGAATATTTACAAGGAACTTTTTGCATCTCCCTATTGATAATGAGGCCCAAATTTGCCTGTTCTCTTAATTATCATTTTAAGCTAATAAAAATTTTCGTCCTACAAATCCCCCTCCTCCTCTCCTCCCAAAAAATATATACAATATACCATTATAAGGAAGAATTTGAAAGAAAAATTAGTAAAAGCTATTAACTTTTTAAAATAACGACTATAATTTTCAAAATTACATTTATAAAAATCCATTATAGCCAAAAGCCTACTATAAATGCCTTAAGGTTTCCAATAAAATTGTAATAGTGGCTCCAGCAAAATCCTGAATACGCCTATGATAGGATAACTGGTAGTAAAAAATTGCCCAGCAAAACTTTGGGTATATATAAACACTTTTGATTTATATCATTAAAAAATTTTTAAAAAATCCATGAGATCAAGATCTACACTGTTTTAATTCAATAAATTTTTTGTAGGAATAATATTTTTATGGTAAAAATCCATTTGTCATTTAAAAAAAATATATATAATCTTTGAATCAATTTTTTTTTTAAATATTGTTATTATCAAATTTAACTGAACTATATTTAATTCAATATTATTATAAAATAATTATAAAAATTGTATTCTTTATTTTCGGTCAATTTCTCACAATTGTATTTTCCTTCACATCTTTAAACTTTAGCTGAGTTAACGAGTCACTAAAAATATATAATATATTATTTTCTTTATATTGAAAACGTAAACTTTTGGCTACTTAAAAGTCCTTTTCTTCTCCATTTATTATCATTCATTTTTTCTTTCTTTCAAATATACATAATAAATCTAATCACCACTGCCTTCACCACTCTTTATTATTATCATAATATAGTAATAATGTAATTTTAATGTACCTATTTAAACAGGGTTATACGGTCAATATCCTTCTATGGACCACAAATGTTTTTTTTTTAAATATAACTATTATAATATACTTTGATAATCTAATATTTATATAATATTTTTTTAATTTATTTTTTAAAGTTATAAAAACCACTTTTATATAAGTTGTTATAAATTATATTATATTTTAATTTAATTATTTTTTAAATGGTGATTTGTAGCCGTAGAGAGATTTGTGGAAGAAAGAAGGGAAGATTATTGAATTGTAAATATATAAATTTTGGTATTGTTCCCATCCACTTTATTATGTCA